GTCCCGTGTACACCCCGCCCCACCAGCGCCAGGATCTGGGCGTCTCGCGTGAATACGCGCGGCAGGGTGTCGCGCAGGGCCAGGGTGATCAGGGCCGCCGCGCAGCTGTACAGGCCGGCCAGCAGGGTGATGCGGGACGCCAGGCGGCGCGCGGCGCGGGGGCCGGCGGGGGAGTGGTACACGTTGGCGACCATCGACTGCAAATGAGGTGGGTGGGGGGGACGTAAAAGGGGGCGCAGCAGGTGTGATGGGTGATGGCGCTGGCCCCGGTGGGTAGCTTCGACGGAATGAGGCTGCAGTGCAGAAAAAGGCGGACGCACTGCTGCAGGACGGGGGAGACGGGGCTCGCTTTCAAGATTGGCGGGACATGCAGCTTCCATTGAGGCGCGTCCCGGGTGCGTGACCCAGCATCACATCCCCTGCGCCCGTGGTCGGCCCAGTCATTCACCTGTGCTACGTGGAGGAACGACCAGGCCACACTCATTTGCAGCTGCTGGTGCTGCTGCACCACCTGGGGGGAGGGGGAGGGAGAGGCAGGCAAACCAGGCCGGCAGCAAGGAGGACAAGGGTCAATGGGGGCTGCCAGCGGACTCGGGGAGCTCGGGGCCAAGGCGTGCATGCCTTGATCCGGCACCAGGCAGCGTGCTGACAAACATGCTGTCTGCAGCCAAAGGTGTGGGAAATGCACGTGCCACCATGCCAGCAAGAGGGGCGTGTTGCCCTGCGGCGCCTCAACGCGCCGCGGCTGAGGCCCCCGCATGCCAGAATGTGGCGCGCCGCCGTGGTCACCTGGTGCCCCGCAATGACGGCTGTTCCTGCGCGCGCAGCCACGACGCTGGCGCTGGTGTAGGTCGACAGGATCAGGCCTTGGAGGGGGGGATTGCGAGGAAGGGAGGAATAATCGAGTTGGTGCGGGGGTTAGGGTGCAGGGGGGAGGAGGAGAGATGCGCAGCACCAGAGGCACAGAGTATAGCTGGAATAACTCACTGCGTCCCTGCCAATCCCCCTCCCCACAAACACACACGCATGCAGGCAAGTAGGGTGGCTCTCACTCACATCCGCGGATGGAGAGGCCGGCGAAGCGCTTGAGGAAGGGCCGCCTGTGTGAACGCGCCATGCGGCCATGCATGCCGTGGAGCTGACTAAGTCCAATCCAACAGCACGGCACAGCTGCAGCCAGGAAATCCCCCCGTCTAAGTAAGCAGCTGCGCATGCCGACCGACGCAGCAGCTTTGTTGCAGAATCTTGCATGTGCTCCAAACATCTCGTGCGCCTGTTGGCCCCACCGACACGCAGCAACCCAGTCCTGCAGGCTAGCGGAAGATGCAGCCCAAGATGCAGCGCGCGGCGCACCAGGGGAGGGACCACAGCAGCAGCACCACCTTGCGACGCAGCGTCAGGCCCCTGGCCCCGCCCCTCCGCGCGCCCTTTCCGCTGTACCGGGCTTTCAGCGGGCCGGGCGGCAGGAGGCCGCCGCCAACGGCGGCCGCGGCCGCCGGCCGGTGGTGCGCCCGCGGCCCCGCGAGCCCGCCGCCGTCGGCGCCCAGCAGCGGCTCCTCGTACCCGTTGACGCCGCACGCGCTGACGCCGACCCCGATGGCGTCCGCCGCGGCGCTCAAGTCCCCCGAAGACTTCACGTCCAGCTCCAGGTCTGACGCACCCTGCCACTTGCCGCCGCCGTCCCCGGCTGCCCAGGCGCCGCCGCCGCCGCCGCTGCCGCTGCTGTTTGCGAGCGGCGCGTCTGCCGCGGCCTCAAGGGCTTCTCGCAGCCCAAAGTCGCGGCGGCGGGCGATAAGGAGAGCAAACAGGGCGGCTCCCAGGTACTGCGGGGCAGCAACGGCCATGCATGCACGTGCTGGCTGTAAGAGTGCTGTGTCCGCACGGCTCCCAAGGCTGCGGCACACAGGGAACCACCACCTCGGTATCAACACCATACGCTGCTCGCTTGTCCCCCTCGATGTTCGTGAGCCACCTCTTTTCTGCCCCTGCCCCGCCATCCATCTATACACAAGCCCACACCCACACACTCAATCGTGGCCCCAGCCCAAAGCCGCTCCCCCCCCCTGTGGCCCCTCCCACCCTGCCCTCACCTGCGACAGCACCGAGGCCCAGCCGCAGCCGGCCATGCCCCCTCCCAGTCTGAACATGAACAGCTCATCAAGCAGGTAGTTGGAGGCGTTGGAGGCGCACACCTTGCAGGGGGGTCAGGGGCGGTGTGTTTTGAGGGCGGGGGGGAAGGGGTTGGTTCGACAAGGTGGGGGTGGGGAAGGGCGCGCGCGTGCGCATGCATCTTGCAGGGTGAAGGGGTGGGGAGTTGAGCGCGTGTGGAGAGGGAGGGTGGGAGGTGAGACAAGGAGGATGTTGGGGAGAGGAGGGAGATGTGCAGAGATTTCTGTGTGTGATTGGGGAGCAAGAGGACATGGGAGCAGCGACGAAGGCAGGTCGACACAGCTGGCTCG